AGTAGGATTTAACCGAATTCTCACGGTTACTCGTACTATGACTGAATTGTTGAGCATTTGACTGAGGGAACGAGGGTTTATGTGAGAAAAGTGACCCAATTCTACGCCCCATGGGGGCACGATCATAGAAAAGGAACAATTTTCCGTTTTCTGGGTATTCATATACACGGTCCTGGTGGACGAAAATCGAATCAACCTCGATTAGTGAAAACAACTTATCTAAATTAGGCGCATTTTTGCTAAGGGATGACGGTCGTTTGGCATCCACCGCTTTATAGTTTAATCCATACGAGTACAGGAAAGCAACCGCAATATCAACTGGACGTACCGATCGAGGGACATTTTTCGAACAAGAAGGAATAAGCTCTCATCTTATCTCGAGGTAAGTCGCAATTCATTGAAAATTCTGACTGATTTGATGGCCGAATTTCAGGGAAGGGTTAGGTGTTATTAATTTTACACGAATTAGACGGATTCCAAACAAGTCGAATAATTGTGATGACATTGTTTATTTTATTGAAAGCTTTTAAACATTGGGAAACTACCTCTGAGGTTCTAGCTCCTAAAAATTTAAATAAGTCGGGCAAATGGTTTTGTATATGAGCAGCAAGTAAGCATGAAAGCGACTGAAACCACATTGTCTTGCTGTTTGGTCAGGCCGAAAAAATGCATATGCCGATGGCAGAAAATTGTCGATTTGGCATATGTACATACATATAGGCGGAATGTTATTACTGACAAGGAAAAGAGAGACTGGAATGGCCAATGGATCGGTATGCGCCCATTCATGAGTGAATATATATATATATATATATATATATATATGTTGAAAAGAGGTAGGTTCTTTGGGACAAGAGGGTTTATTGCGTAAATTTTCGACGCTGGTTCCCCAGGTCGTCGTCAGACGCAAGCGGAAAGCAAATGTGAAAGCAAGAAACAGCTAACGTCAAGAGTGCACAAAAAATCGATACTTGCATGGCGTGTGCGCCGGTTGGCGGCCGTCGTGCGTCAGTCTGAGCTGGTTGGTTCCCTTCTCTTCCACTTCTCCTTCAGGTTTCTGTACACGGCATCCAACTCGATATGCCGGTTGATGCATGAGTCATCAGAGTGCATCGCCTCGAGGAATTCTCGGCCTTTCTTGAAAGGGCAGACCGCGACAACGCGAGCTTTGTCCCAAGCGAAAGTGTGCCCGGTGTCCAGCGTATGCATGGCTACCTGAGACAGATGGTCTCGCCTCTTTACTGCCAACTGGTGCTCATGGATGCGTGTTGAGGCGGATTTTCCAGTCTGGCCACAATAGACGGCAGTACATGCATTACACTACTAGAAGTGCTCCACAATACTATCAACTCAACAATTGCTGGGATTCAATTCACACTTGAAAAGGAAGTGGACTGCAAACTCCCATTTCTGGATGTTCTCGTGCAGCGTAAGGTCGACGGAACGTTACGCACATCCGTTTACCGAAAAGAAACTTACGCTGAAGTCATTCTTCCTTATAAGAGCAACCAGCCCATTTCTCACAAACGGAGTGCCGTAAACAGTCTGCTTGGTCGAGCAAAAACACATTGTTCGGATGAAGAAGGCTATCGAGCCGAAGTGAATTACTTGT